TTTTCATTGGAAGTTAGTAATGTCTGATCAAACATAGTCTGCTCTTTATAAAATCCATACTGGACAATAATCCACACTTGGTTAGAAAAAATATTAGAGAAACACATAGACTATAAACCTGATTTTTTTTTTACTAGGTATAATGCCAGAAAACTTGATAAGCAAAATACAAAGTGATTTTACATGTGAGATAACAGCGGCAAGAATTATATTCGCACAATATTGGAAGGACGAAGAAATACCACCAGAAGAAGAAATAATTAAAAAAAAAAATACTAGACTGTGCACAAATGGACAGACTTACTTTAAGGTTGAAAAGAAAAAGAAGAAACAGAATATTTTCAAACTTGGGACNGGGGAGGGCCTTCTCGGTGGGAGCCCCCACCCTCTGGAACGAACTACCCCCAGAGATCCGGGTGATCCCGGATCTCCCCTCCTTCCGCCGCGCCCTAAAGACATGGCTTTTTCAACAAGCGGGTCTGGCCTAGGGAATTTTAGCGGGGTTTTTTAAGGGTAATTTTAAGGGTAATTTTAATGATTGGCCTTCTCAAATATTTTCTTTTAATTCGGTTTTTAATATAGATATTATTGTATTATTGTATTGTGGTTTTTATGAGGCTGTTAGCCGCCCTGAGTCCTGTGAGGAGAAGGGCGGGGTACAAATTAAATTATTATTATTATTATTATTATTATTATTATTATTATTATTATTATTATTATTATTATTATTATTATTATTATTATTATTATTATTATTATTATTATTATTTTCCAAAGCGCCTGAAGGCGGGACAAGGAGCAACGGGTGGAAGCTAACCAAAGAGAGAAGCAACCTAGAACTAAGGAGAAACTTCCTGTCAGTTAGAACAATTAACCAGTGGAACAACCTGCCTCCAGAAGCTGTGAATGCTCCAACACTGGAAGTTTTTAAGAAGAAACTGGACAGCCATTTGTCCAAAATGGTATAGGGTTTCCTGCCTGAGCAGGGGATTGGACTAGATGACCTCCAAGGTCCCTTCCAACTTTATCATTATTATTATCATCATGAGAATTTAAAATGGGTGGGGGTCTCTGAGGACCCTGAGCATGGGGTCTCACCCTCTTTGGGTTGGTCACCTCCCAATTCCCCAGAGCCCCCCCCCAGACAGGAAAGGGGAGAGTTTGGGGGAGCAGCCCAGATCTCATGCTTGTTCCCATGGGGCAATAGAAGTACAGGCAGTCCTTGACTTAACAGGAGTTCATTTAATGACCATTCAAGTTACAGCTGCCCTGAAAAAAGTGACTTATGATCGTTTTTCACACTTATGACCATTTCGGCACCGCCATGTTCATGTGATTTGCCTTCAGATACTGAACAACTTGTTTCTATTTATGACGGTTGCAGTATCCCGTGTGTGTGTGTGTATCATGTGATCCCCTTTTGTGACCGTCTGACAAGCAAAATCAATGGGAAAGCCAGATTCACTTCACAACGGTGTTACTAATTTAACAACTTCTGTGATTCCCTTAAATGTGGCAAGAAAAGTCGCAAAATGGGGCAAAACTCACTTAACAAATTTCTCACTTAGCAACAGAAATTTTGGGCTCAATTGTGGTCGTTAAGTCAAGGACTTACCTGCATTGTAGCTCAGCAGCTGAGAGGAAAAATAGGCCGGGAAATACTGCTAAGCCACTGCAGACTAGAAATATATATATATTTACTTTCTATTTATTTATATCCCAATATTCTTTTTATAAATTACTCAAAGCGATAAACATAGCCAACACACATTCCTATTTTCCTCAAAAAAAACACCTGTGCTGTAGGTAGGGGAGAGAGTGGCCCGAGGTCACCCAGCGGGGTCTCATGGCCAAGGCAGGACTCGAACTCATGGTCTCCTGGTTTTTGCCCAATGCTTTAAATACTAGGCCAAACTGACCATCCCAGATTAGACAGGTGGAGTTGATTGGGAATCCTTATCCTGCATACAGAGCAGTATCTGAATATCTGAAATGACACTATGCAAAATAGGGTAATTGTTTTACAAATTGACAAAAATAGGAAAGAAGTATATTTAATATAATGTGGTACAGGTAGTCCTTGAGTTACAAGTGTAATGGAGCCTTGCCCGTTCCACTCGTAACTCAAAAACTTGTAGAGTGTCTCCTTGCTTTAACACATGTCCACCACAAATGATAATACCTGGTTTGTGTTTACATTTCCAACATTTCTCTGACATATTTTTAAACATTTTTGCTAATCTTGTTGGTGGCAAGTACCATTGGCAGAACATTTTGTATAGGTTTTCTTTATATGAAGCTGACACTGTCAATTTATAGTTTCTTTCCCACAAACTTTGCCACTTCTCTAAGTCTGTATTATATCCAAATTCTTTGCCCATACTATCATTGTCTCTTTTACTTGTTCATCTTCCATTTAATAAGAAATTGTACATTTTTAAATTAACTTTTCATCGGAAGTTAGTAATGTCTGATCAAACATAGTCTGCTCTTTATAAAATCCATACTGGACAATAATCCACACTGGGTTAGAAAAAATGTTAGAGAAACACAGACTATAAACCTGATATTTTTTTTACTAGGTATAATGCCAGAAAACGTGATAAGCAAAATACAAAGTGATTTTACATGTGAGATAACAGCGGCAAGAATTATATTCGCACAATATTGGAAGGACGAAGAAATACCACCAGAAGAAGAAATAATTAAAAAAAAAAATACTAGACTGTGCACAAATGGACAGACTTACTTTAAGGTTGAAAAGAAAAAGAAGAAACAGAATATTTTCAAACTTGGGAC